TAGTTTGGTACTGTATTTTTTTTAGTATATTGATCTGCTGATACCAGTTACAGTTTTAAAGACTGTATTTTCACAGAGCGGAAACCAGTGTTTTTAAGCTATTATTCAAGAAGGGTATAATACTAAGTGTTTAGGAATTCAAAGCTAATTTTTTAAGGGCCTGACATATACTTTGAAGGAATCTCCACTAAAAAGCAAAGCTCCAAATAAGCAGAAGGAATTTGGAATATTGAGCTTTTCCTTCCATTTCTCTCTTTCCTGCTCTTGAGGGCAGAAAGAAGTGGAAGGTTGTAAAGAATTGAGTCTCCTTCTTGGAGACATATAAGTGACTAGAATTAGGAATGTACCCTCTAAAGTTTATTATCCTTTTATTCTGATTTTACTTCTTAAATGGCAACTGGGCACACTTAGGCTGTTAACAGAACTCCAAAGAGATTTATAAAAACCCTTGAAATAGTTGCAAGCTAAATATTAATGACTTGGTATCTGCTTGTTATTCCTAAGAAATACTACACTGAGTATATACCCTCATTACTGGACTTCATTTTGATACTTGTCAATCCTTCATAGTGCCCTCTACTTTTAAAGGGTTTATATGTTGAAAACTGCTGTGGCCTTTTATGACTTGTATATAATGTAGGATAAAATAATAAAATACTTGATAGCTTTTTCTAAGTAATAAATGAGTGGTGTGTTGTCATTTGTGCTTTTTCAGGGAGTTTAAGTTTGATACCTTAAAAAATGATGAAAACGCTGGCTTCTTAAAAGATTAGTTTTTGCCCTAACCGGTTTGGCTCAGTGGATAGAGCGTAGGCCTGCGGACTCAAGGGTCCCAGGTTCGATTCCGGTCAAGGGCATGTACCTTGGTTGTGGGCACATCCCCAGTAGGGGGTGTGCAAGAGGCAGCTGATCGATGTTTCTCTCTCATCGATGTTTCTAACTCTCTATCCCTTTCCCTTCCTGTCTGTAAGAAATCAATAAAATATATTAAAAAAAAAAAAAAGATTAGTTTTCACCAGTTTGCCAAAAGATCAGCATGTCAGCAACAACTCCTCTGAACTTTAATAAAAGGCAAATCCTGACGTGAGAATATAAAGAGCCACAACCCAAGAATGAAGCACCATAGTGATTTAATATAGATTATTTTTATGAGCTGAAATTATATCTCCATTAAAGAATGGCTAAAAGTTTGGGCCTTAAGATTAACAGTCAGGTGTACATTTTATCTCTCAATAGATATATGCTTTTTAAATTTAGAGAGTGGTTAAGGCCCTATACTTGTTAGGGGTGTAACGATAAGGCAGTATAAGTATTTTCCTCTAGCTCATCATGATGGTCTGACTTTTGATACTCCCTTTCCCTTTGGGTTGAGACTTTTGTAGTTATGCTTGGTCTTAATGCTTGCCTGACAGGGACCATAATTGTTTTAAAATAGGATGAAATTTTCAGGAATAGTGTAGCTGCTCTAGTAACTGTTAATCTCATAATCCAGGTCCAGTTTCCATGCAAGCCATAGTATGCTTCTTTAGGGATACTAAATTTGGCAGTTTCAAGGAGACCTGGGGATAAAGAGGATATATTGATTGGTTTAAATGTTGTTATTAGGAAATCAGTTTATTTTCATGTTTATATTTTTGACGATATCGTCCCTCACATATCTTTTATAATCTAGGTATTTCCTTAAGAATAGTATTAATATCTAACATTTGAGTTTTTGTTGTATGTCACTCCCTGTGTATGGTGCTGCATTATTTTATTTAGTTATCATGACAACCTTATGAGGTAGAGTTTATAAATAAGGAATCTGGAACTTAGAAGGTAACGAAGAGACTACTAAAGCAGTCTGAGTAAAAAATTTTGAAACATTGAACTAAAGCTGTGTTGTATGGGATGAAGATGAGAGAAGATGGATAAATTCTGAGACAATGCAGTGGAAGATTTGGTGGGAGTTGATAACTGACCAGAGAAGAATCATGGCAAAGGATCTAGGGTAATTGGGAATTTTGATTTGGGTAATTGAGTAGATGTATTGACTGAGAAAGGAATACTGGAGAATTATGTTAGGAGGATTGGATAGGAAGGATGAACTCAATTTTGGTAAAGATTTTAAGGTAGTTGAATATTTTCCAAGTGGCGATAACCTATCTAATAAAGAGGGCATATTGACCCTCATGCCATCGCAAAGATAGCGGTGCCCATAGCCAATAAGGAGGGAATATGCAAATTGACTGCCACGCCCTCAAAGATGGCAGCGCCCACAGCCAATAAGGAGGGAATATGCTAATTGACTGCCATGCTCTCAAAGATGGCGGTGCCCACAGCCACAAGATGGCCGGCAGGGGAGGGCAGTTGTGGGTGATCAGGCCAGCAGGGGAGGGCAGTTAGGGGTGACCAGGCCTGCAGGGGAGAGCAGTTAGGGGCAACCAGGCCGGCAGGGGAGGGCAGTTTGGGGGGACCGGGCCGGCAGGGGAGAGCAGTTTGGGGGGGGACTAGGCCGGCAGGGGAGAGCAGTTTGGGGCGACTGGGCCAGCAGGGGAGGGCAGTTGGGCGCGACCGGGCCGGCAGGGGAGGGCAGTTAGGGGCGATTGGGCTGGCAGGGGAGCAGTTAGGTGTCAATCAGGCTGGCAGGGGAGTGGTTAGGGGGTGATCAGGCTGGCAGGCAGAAGTGGTTAGGGGCAGTTAGGCAGGCAGGCAGGCGAGCAGTTGGGAGCCAGCAGTCCCGGACTGTGAGAGGGATGTTTGACTGCCGGCAGTTAATTTCGTGCACTGGGCCTCTAGTTTGGTATATAATTGGATATGTTGATCTAGAGTTTAGGAGATTAAGGGAATTTATGAATATAGTTATTTGAAGATTTAGAAGAGCTCACCACCCTGAGATTTATAAAATGAAAGGGTAGGAGAAAGTTGTGAGGAACATTATTACTTGAGATGGCATGCCCAAGAAGAGTAATTGAAACTAAGGGAAGAGTCTCAAGAATAAAAAGAAGAGTCAACACTGTCACATCACAATTGAAGGCTGAAGAGTGACCTTAGAAAAAGAAGAGGGATCTACAGAATGGTGGAGGCAGTATTGGACACAGTAAGTATGTACTAGCAGTCACAGTTAAACTTCAAAGGAGGTTGATTCTACAATTGCTGCTTATAAAGGGGCTTTTAAATTTTGTCTGCTGCCATTGAATAGTTGTTTCATTATAAAAATGACTAGTATATAGACATTATAGGAACCACAGGTATAGACAGGAACTATTTGATTTTATTTGGGGTATGCTCTGGTCTGCATGGCCATGCAATGATTTTATTTTGTTTGAATTATAAATGTCACTATTTTGCCAGTTCATAATATAAAATAGTGAACTTGGTGTATCTACTAAAGGCATGACTTTCCTTTTTCTTTCTTAAATAACTTGTTCCATCTTTTGTCATAGTCACTGAAGTAAAATACTAAGGAAAATACAGTGTGAATGGCTTTGTCCTTAGCCTCACTTTCCTGGAATCACCTTTAGTGAGGGTTTTTCAATGAAGCCAGGGTTTCAGTGTTACAGCAATATTATCTTAGACCTAAAGGAAATTTAAGGGCCAGTTACAGTGACTAAAGAGACTTCCAAGAAATGTTTGTCCCTGGATGTTGTTCTAGGTCTAGGTAGCCGAATAGGAAGGTACGACAGTTTCACAGCTTTTAGTCTTTCCAAGGCAACTGTTTTGGAATATGTCGTGGAACACTGGCAGTTTCTATTTGCTCTTGAATTTGTCATCATACTTGTATTTATTGCCCCTCCCAAGGTAATGGGAGCCTTTGGCCTAGGAGACTGTTTTCATGGTTCTATATAAAAGTCTATTATTTTAACAGTTTATAGAACTAACTGAAAGGCATTATTCTGGAATAGCAGTTACTCTCCTAATTTGGTAAAATTAGTTAGAGTTTAGAAATAAATTGGGAGATTAACATCTTACGTCATATTACACAGTTCTTGCAAACCATTCTGCCTCAACGAAGGACAGCAAAGCGAGTACAGTTGTCATCTATAAATAAAAGATTGGGGATATGTGTACAATGACTATTTCTAACATCTCTTGAATAATCATAGATCTGTCTTCCATAATTATGTGGAACTCTGCAAATGGACATCGTTGTGGATAGTTATTTAACACTTTGATGGACTGTTATGCCAGGATAGTAGAATCTTAAGAGTCATCCAACCTGTGATATATGGACTTCCAGCCTTTCTTGGACACTGTCAGAGGCAGGGAGCTCATTCCATTTATGAATATATCAGAAAGTTAAAGAAGACAAACTTTTTTATTTTGGGTGTGAGAGAATTTTAATACCAAATTAAATGGAAGGACAAGAACATACTGTAGACACAAGACAATTTAAAATCATAAACAAAATGTGAGGTAGACTAGTGAAATTCACCAAATTTTGGTTAAGAAAATTTTACAGTAATAAAGTTAACACAGGTGCCTCCTTTTCTAAAAAAAAAAAAAAAAAAAAGCATTTGCATAAATTACAGCCAAAAAAAACCTGAATACAACAATTCTAATTTTACTTTACATTCAGTATTAACCTGTGTGAACTGTCATTGTTCAACAGGTCCATAGGTTAATTATTATGGAGGCCTAGAGAACACATTCATGCCACAATGTTTCTAAGGAATGGCAAGGCTTGAAGCTGAACACACCAAGGTATGTATTAACAAATCATGGTGTCCTGTGCTTGTGCAATTTTATCCTTAAAGGAGAAGGACCTAACATTCTCTAAAGAATTATACTGTTAAGGTGATTTTAAAAGATTTAAACCTTAGTAAGAAAGACATTGAAAAGAATAGGCAGATCAATTTGAACTGTCTATCACTGGGGTGATGGTCTTTTGACTTTATTCTGGTATTTCCTTCCACAGGGTTAAATAGTATTTAAGAGATTATAATCACTTGATTTTTCAGAGTGCAGCCTTAACTAATACGGAGACCTGCATTTAAGTAACTACTTTAAAAATGTTCTTCAGACTATGAAGCCATAAAGCCAGAAGAAAACCTGAGAAGCCATCTGCCCCAGCCAGGTACAACTATTTTAGAATTATTTCAAGTATTTTATTTGCCCTATATAGTAATATAATTGGAATATTGCACAAACAGTGGGTTTCTTGATATCATTTGCATTAGGCCCTTTCAATCAAACAGGAACATTTGAAATACATTCATATCTAAATCAACCTACTTCAAAACGTACCTTTGCCAAAAATTCTGTTATACTAAAATTAGGGAGTATTTTTAAAGCATACATAAGGCAGATCAGATCCTCTTTTAAGGACAATTAAAAATGGGGTTTAAAAGAATTGTTCATTCAAAATACATTTAAAGCATCATAAGTAACTATATTAAAACCAAGAGATCTGCAAACCATTTTCAGGTTAGTATATTCCATCTTACTAGCTGTAAACTCCTTGTTATCACAAGCTAATAAAACTGGTCAATTAACACTATTTGTTCTAAGTAAATGCAGGCTTAGTAGACCCCCTTTCAGTAGTTTCAGGCCATAAATAAGATAATTCAAGTAAAAATGGCCATGTTAAGTGGGGATAAAGTGGTACATACGGGCTAATGAGAAAAATGTCAACAGGTTGTGTGATGAGAATTGGAGTAATTTAAGAGTAAACTTCCAAAAGATTTATTTCTAGAACATTTTCTAAAAATCTGTTTTTAATTTTAAAATAATGGTGAGAAATTTATAGAAACTTATGCCTCCTACTATTGATACTGAACAAACACTTCCCTTGCTGATTTTAATGAGTCAAAGACTTTTTAATGGAATCTTCCTTACTCCTTACAAAAGAATCTACTGAAAGACAGTTCTGTCTCTTTCTATGAGCGCATTTCCCTTTTCATCAATTTCTGTGTAGTTGTCAGTATAGGCAGATAAAATGTTCATTAAGTGTATCATTTATTTATTTATTTTTATTATTATTAAGGTATTACACATGTGTCCTTATCCCTAAGTGTATCTTTTAAAGGAAGCTTTGCTTGGGTCTCTGAAAAGAAACAAACTAGTTCCACTCCATACAGAGCCATTGCCTGACATGTAACTTTGCTGGTGTCAACTGCTTAATTACAACCAAGCAGGGTGGGCGTATGGTGACTGCCAAAAGTTCCTTAATTGGCTCAACTACTGAATCAGGTTTCTTATTATACAAGATTAATCACTGTTCCATATTCTCATAGACATGGTGTGCTTAGAGACTGGAAACATTTTTAAAGAATGGAAAAAGCAAAGTAATTTAAGCAAGGAGAAGCTGCTATATACACAGTGCCTGCTCTGCATTTACTGATTTGTTTGTTCAGTTTAAATAGTAAACTTTAAACTCCTGTGGAAATTTTGCCAAAAGTTTCAATACATATAAGATTATAAATCTTAAACTAACACTGCACAGAGAAAGACAAAGCTACTTCTTTTTTTAAATACAAATATCTTCTACATTCTATCATTTCAGACCCCTGAGTAATACTGTACCAAAGTACAGATCTGAAGAGAAACTGAGGGTTCAGGCCTCAAACGTTAATCTTCAATTAATTCCACACCAATGGTGTCTCATGTAACACATTCAGGCTAGCTAATGCTGAGAGTCAGCTTTACCCCTAACAAGGTGTAGTAGAAAACACAATGCAAACTCCATGTTCGTTCTCCAAAGTATATCCTCCTCAGGCTCCGCGGGCAGACCATGTCTTAAGTAATTGCATAACTGCCTAAGGTGGAGTTAACCTGAATGTAAGGTCCTGAAATGGAACTGAAAGAGAGTAATGCCCCCAAAGATTTGGGGCATTCTTTGGAGAACAGACAAATATGTTGCACTTTGCTCCACAGTGATTGTACTTTAAAGGAAAAAAAACCCAAATAATTGTTTCTGCCCCACTCCCCCTAGGCATCCTTTTGCTATTTTTGGTCTCTTCAAAAGTTCATACATGACGTCCAGTAAGAAAATACAGGGGCTTGTCTTCACTGCTGTTAGCAGTTTGAAATTCATCCCGGAGGCGGAACTGCCACTCGTCCTCTAGTTCTAAGCGGACAATTGTCTGGCGTAAGGAGCTTCTGTCTTGGCAAATGACACACAGGGTAGCACCTTTGGGAAAAAAAAGCAGAAGTGCAGTTTAGGCTCAGGAATTGATAAGGTACTTTACCACCTCTCTACAATGTATCCCCTAAGTCAGTGGTTCTCAACCTTCTGGCCCTTAAAATACAGTTCCTCATGTTGTGACCCAACCATAAAATTATTTTTGTTGCTACTTCATAACTGTAATGTTGCTACTGTTATGAATCGTAATGTAAATATCTGATGTGCAGGATGGTCTTAAGAGACCCCTGTGAAAGGGTCGTTCTACCGCCAAAGGGGTCATGACCCACAGGTTGAGAACCGCTGCCCTAAGTGAACACATCTGAGAACCAACATATTAGGAAAGTAACCCATCATTTAAATTTATTGTTTATTTTGAATAAGTAGTATTACAGATTCAAAAGTCTGAAGGAGTGTAAAGTGAAAAAACTCCCAATTACACCCTCCCTTCCCCCTGTGGTAACCAGTGTTAAAACCAATGCTATAATGTTTCTCATGTGTTACTCACAAGTAGGATTTCTCAAACTCAGCTCTATAGGACTGGATTATTCTTGGTTGTGGGGCTGCTCAGTTCTTTTGTTTGTTTTTTTAAAACAGCACATGATTATATTTAATACACAAGTTTGATACAACCAAAAAGTAAAACACCAGAGTAAAATAGTAATAAAAAACATGGTATTTCATTTGCAGTGCATGAGAAATGGTTAACATCTTTAGTCATAAACAAGCTCTTAAAAACCAATATCAGAGACAATATAATGCAAGGAAACTGGAAAAAATAAAATGAAGTAATACAAGTGATGATTAAGCATATACAATGATTTTGCTGAGCAGCGATGAAGAATAATTTCTCTGCAGTATCACAGTGAGCAGAGTAAAGACACTGGCACCTAATATTCTTCAGTTTTGAACAGTGTTGTACCGTTTGAACTCTCAAAAACACTGGGAGGCAGATTAATGAGAAGGATCTATAATTAGGAGAAAAGCTAGTTTTTAATCTACATATAAATTGAGTATTTTTAACAAGAGCAGTTCCAATTAATTGGAATTATTTCAACAAGTTAGTTGAATAAATTCAATAGGAATGATATAAAAGCATGTTTAATGCAGAGAAAATGTGTGGCCAGTGTAAGCGCCTAAAACACTATTTGCCTATCAATGTATCAGCACAACCCAGAAGGGTACACACAAACTCTATTAGCAGATGATAGCGTAGGGAGTACAGTCAGTCGTACTGTGATCTGTATATATGGGGTCTGGTGGGTACCAGAAATACTGAGGGGACATTTCACTTTGCAGTATTCCTGAAACTAATACAAAATAATATTGAATGTAATCTAATTGAAAAGTAAAAATTATATAAAATGGGGGAGGGTGAAATTAAAAGGAAAACAAAGGTACATAAAGTAATAACTACATACTTAACAAATTTCTATGTCGCCTAGAATCTAAAAAAGATTATTTTTAAAATATATTTTGATTTTTTACAGAGAGGAAGGGAGAGGGATAGAGAGTTAGAAACATCAATGAGACAGAAACATCGATCAGCTGCCTCCTGCACACCACCTACTGGGGATGTGCCCGCAACCAAAGTACATGCCCTTGACTGGAATCAAACCTGGGACCCTTCAGTCTGCAGGCCGACGTTCTATCCACTGAGCCAAACTAGTTAGGGCTAAAAAAGATTATTTTTAATGAATACATTTTAAATCTACTCTATGATAATAAGTAAAATCAGAAATATATGGGAGCCCTGGAGGAGGCCTCGCAATGGCATGTCCTAGGTTTCGGTATTAACGTCTCCAGCTTTCCATCTCCTGGATTCAGTCCAACAGCAACAAGGACAACAGTCAACATGCCTGCTTACAGTTCTCTCCATGCCACCCTTTAGGTCACCTTGGATATGAGCTTTCTCACTCTTGTGTTGCTTGACAGGGAGTGTCCATGGCCATGCTCAAGAGGCATTTCTGAGCCTTTCTGAAGACTGGGTGTTTCAGATGGTGGCAGAAGCAATGGCACGCGTCCTGTTCTGTCATCACATGCATATCACCAGGGGGGCTGCTCTGTTCTTATAGGATGTCTAGGAACATCCCTGGCTCCTACCTACTATATTGCCAGCAGCAGCAGTGTGACAACCTAAATATCTCCAGATGTTGTCAAATGTCCCCTGCAAGGCAGTCACCCCCCACTACTGCTCCAGATGTGTGGGTTTTTTTTGGTGTGTGTATAATTACCTAATTTCACCTATACTCATAAAGTGGTAATATGCTGTAGTGTACACAGTATTCTGACCTTACTTTTTTCACTGACCTCAGAGGTCATCTTGTCAGGATTATTCGTGATGCCTGATTTACAGTTTGTTCTTAGGTAAATCTAACTAACTCTTTGTATAGTGCATACTTGTCATAACTCAGTAACCTGATTTTTATTAAAATTAGGTTATATGAGAAGCATTACTTCTCTTCTTGCATCGATTCCTTCCTAAACTTAATAGTGGTGAAACATTTAATGTCACAAATCTGGCTATTCATCTAGTATTCATCTTAGTATATCAAGACTTGATTCCTCAGTTGAAACCAAGATACTCAATTTACTGGCAAAAAATGACTGTTAAAGTGCTTTTTAAAATATATTTTTCACCTTTGTATTTTGTCCAATGGGAACCAATAGCATTCACAAGCAAAATACTAAATTTGATTTACCTTTTAGAAATTTAAATTTCTTAAGAAGATCAGCACCTACAAAAGAGTCACAGAGGTACAAGAGGAGTCCACTGAAAAACACCCCTTCACAGTTGACATTGCTGGAGTGGGGTCTGGAGCTGATGTAGCATATGGCCACCTGGAATGATCAAGCAGAAGGAGCATGGGCATTTCAGAAGCAAAATGTCTGCACTTTACCTGAATGCGTCAGTATCTTCCTCTTTAGCTGTCTGTTTCAGGATAAGGGAAAAGGGTTTTTTTTTTGTTTGTTTTATTGAAACTTAAATGAGTTTGTTATTTAAGCTTTGCACCTCTTCTATTTAGTGTACCAAGGTTTAACATATTTAAAGCTTCTAGTTTATTTCTCATAATCAGAGATGGTTATGAAAGAATTAGTTGTAAGAAACAAAATAAGCCCCTCCATCTAAGAGTGTTTATAAAATAAAAAAGCCGCCTTCCACAGAAAGGCATACTGAGGAAAGATAAAATGTTTAGATCACCTTATTAGTGAGAGTAAACATTTTTAATCAGCTTTTCATGTAGATAGACTTAAATTTTCAATTGGTTAGAAGCTTCAAACTGCATGAATTAAATTTTTAGGTCTGTATGGCTTCCATGTAACCATAGAAATTACAGGTAAGTGAATGAGATAGTTGGAGGACCTTGAGAAGGATGGAATGACTAAAATGTGGGCCAGACTGCTTGGGTTCGAGTACTGGTTCCTTGAGTAGTTGTGTGACTCTGAGCAGTCTCCTTCATTTCACCATATTTCATCTTCCTGCTCTGTAGAGATGATAGTAGTACCTGATTCATAGGACTATTTTGTGAATTAATATAAACAGTAAGTATTCAGTGAGTGTTAGCTGCTGTTAGTAGTAGTGGTATTGGGATTTTGTTGTCCGACATCTAAAGCCCTGGATCTTGGGATGGAAGAGTTGGGAAACCTGGGCTGGACATGTAACTTATGTTGATACCATGAAAGTGTGGTATCTGATGTAAGGCTCCTTCTACTTATAAAATTCAACAATTCATGTCCAACCCACAGTGTAGACTTGTGAGAATGTAAAATATTTACAGTTAAATTTTAAAAATCAGTTTTAAAAAAAAAACTATTTCAGAGAGGAAGAGAGAGGGAGAGATAGAAACATCAATGATGAGAGAGAATCACTGATTGGCTGCTTCCTGCACACCCCCTACTGAGGGGATTGAGCCTGCAACCCAGGCATATGCCCTTGACCGGAATCGAACCTGCGCCCCTTCAGTCCGCAGGCTGATGCTCTATCCACTGAGCCAAGCCGGCTAGGGCTAAAAATCAGTTTTCAAAATTAAATATAATTGGTTTCAGTCTTTAGAGATTGTCAACACATGTAAAGAAAAAAAGGCAAGAAGAAATGTAGTATACCAAAATGTTATTGTTCCTATTACAAGTGATTTCATTTTCTAATTTATACCTTTTATTTTTTAAATTCTTTACAAGGAAGATATGTTCTTGAATAGAATAAAATAGAATATTTAAAAACAGTACTGATAATACCAACAGAAAGCTTAGTGGTAGAAGCTGTTTAAGTCTTGAAGGCTATTGGCTATCAGTGGTCAGAAGCCTAAAGGTACAACTTGCAAATTTTTTTATAAAGTAAAACTGATGGAGAACTTGAGACAGAGAAGAGAAAGAATGACAAATAAGGAAATCATGGAAAAGAATGAAGTGCAGGAGTGGAAATGACAATGATAAAGGTCTCCATGATACCTTAAATTGCTCAGCAATCATTGAGCTCCTCTTATGTGCCTACAATAGTGGGTAAGACATAGTGGTCCTCTGGCATGGGGAGAAATACCATCACATGATTAAAATATCTGATGAGTGGATTAAAAAACTGGTATATCTACACAATGGAATGCTACACTGTTGTAAAAAAGAAAGAATTCTTACCATTTCCAACAGCATGGGTGGACCTGGAGAATATTATGCTAAGTGAAATAAGCCAGTCGGAGAAAGGTAAATATCACATGATGTCACTCATTTGTGGAAAATAATGAACAAAAAACTGATGGACAAAAATAGATCCAGAGAAGCATCGAACAGACCACCCAACCTCAGAGGGAAGGCGGGGGCGGGGGGGGGGTAAGAGATCAACCAAAGGGCTTGTATGCATGCATATAAGCATAACCAATGGACACAGGCAGTAGGGGGGTGAGGGCATGTGCTGGGGGTGTGAGTGGCTGGGGAGAAGTTAATGGGGAACAAAGGAGACATGTAATATTTTAAACCAGCGGTCGCCAACCAGTAGTCCATGAGGTCTGGAAGGTTGGCAACTGCTGGTTTAAGGAAACCTTTGGAGCAGCGGTTGCCAACTGGTGGTCTGTGAGGTCCGAAAGGTTGGCGACTGCTGCTTTAAACAATAAATAATTTTAAAATAAAATATCTGATACATGTGATTGGGGGGGAGCAAACAACTGTTTCTGCCCAGCTGAGGTAGTAGGCTTCTCAGCAGAGCTGACCTCAGAGCTAAGCTTTGAGTGTTCACTGGCTTATTGTGGAGAGGTGAAATGTGTATGGGGAGGGATGACTACCATTGCACCTTGTGTAAGCCTTTGCATAAATGAGTCTGTTACAGGTTCCTTTTTGTCTTTTTCAAATGGGAACTAAAATGGAAAATAAATGGATGGAAGTGGGTAAAGCACAGTACTAGCCCACTCCCCCTTTACCTCTGGTCCAATGTTAAGATAGCAATCAACAGCTAACACAGGACTCTTGAAGTTCCGGATGGCTTTGGGGAAGAGTTTGTATGAGGCGTGCTGAAGGAACTTCTCCAGAAGGAACTGCGCAGGGGCTGCCAGTAATGTGTGTTCACTGTCGGGAGCACAGACATACTGAAGGGGCAGGATGGGTGCTAAGCTCTCTGACACCTGAAACGAGAGCCGAGATTATCATGGAAAATGTGTTTGTCAGTGGATGAAATAGGCAAGGAAACTGCATTGCATTCTAGCAGTCCCCAAATAATAGTACAACAGTGACAAGTGCTAGGCTCAAATGTAAGTCTGTCCTTGGGTTCTGAAAATGTTTTTCACTTACTACAGAACAGTACTGTCGTATCTAACAATTTACCCACAGCAAGAACAGGAGACAATGGAAAAGCAGGCTTCTTTGAAAGTTACTGCATTTAGCAAGTACATTGTGAGGACCAATAGGAAGCCTATTATAGTGCTCTGGATGTGGATGGGATTTATCACAACTGAGAGAGAAAAAAAGCAAAGGTTTCTAAGCTTACTGGGGATCCATGTTATAAATGATCAGATACCAGTATCTCTTAAACAGAAAAGGATAGCCCATGGAATTTGCAGCCTTAACAGGTTTTGATCTGTTACTTTTTCTGTTTTTAATCATTTTTATTTTTCAATTACAGTTGAAATAGATTAGTTTCAGGTATACACCCCAGTGATTAGACATTATATAACTTATTAAGTGATCATCCCAATACATCTTGTTACCCATATGACACCATACAGTTATTAGAATATTATTGACTATATTTCCTATGCTGTGCTTTACACTCCCATGACTATTCTGTAACAACCAATTTGTACTTAGTCTGTTCACTTTTTTCACCCAACCCCCAACTCCCTCCCATCTGATGACCTTCAAAATATACTCTGCATCTAAGTCTGTTTCTGTTCTGCTTCTTGAGTATATTGCTTGTGGATATCATGGGGTACAGGTGCGCTGGATCTGTGGACTCCTGGGAGGTGCAGGCCGAGGTCAGCTGCCTTTTGTGTTCTGGCTGGTGCCATCCGGTATGAGCTACAAAGCAATCTGCAGATGGCTGCTACTTTTCCTGGGTTTGGAGGTACCCAGGTGGGGCTAAGCTGTGAACCAAGGCCAACTGCTATTGCCAGGCCTGGGGCCACTTCATGAGAGGTATGGGCCAGACACTGCTTGTTTGAGAGATTTTAGGCAAGTCTGAAGCATGAGCCAAGACAGGCCATTTGTTTGAAAAAGCCACTGGAAATAGCTTGGGTGGGGTGGGATCTCCAGGAATTACCAGGGCAGGCAGGAAAACACTGAGCCAAGTTGATGGAGACTCAGATATGGCACCTGCCTGTCATCTCTGTGTGTGAGAGGTGGGGGAGGGAGGGAAGGTGTCTAAGAAAAGGAACAATGGCCTCTGCCAGCGCGCCCCCCCCCCCCACTCTTACCCTAATGCCAAACAATTTAGTTCCTCCCTGTATATCCCTGTACCATTTTAGCTGCTGTCCCAGCACTGGTGCTCAGAGGAAGTGTGTGCAAGTAAGTCTATGTGTGGGCCCTTTGAGAGGAACTCCAGCAGCTCTTTGTCTTAGCCACAATTCCCACTGGTTTTTACAGCCAGAAGTTATAGGCACTTCTCTTCCTGGCATTGGAACCCTGGGCTGGGGGTCCTGGTGTGGGGCCAGGATCCTTTGCTCCTCACAGGGGACCTCCCCAGCCGAGAGATCCTTTCTGACTTTTGACCAGCCCATTCTGTGTCTGCTCTTACCAGTCTTCATGTGGCTTCTTCCTTAAATCCCTAGTTGTAGGACTTCTATTCAGCTAGATTTCTGGTGGATCTGAATGATGGTTGTTCTATAGTTTAGTTGTAATTTTGATGTGGTTGTGGGAGAAGGTGAGTACCGCATTTTACCTATGCCACCATCTTGACTGGAAGTCTCTGGTCTTTTATTTTCTTGACAAGCATCTTGATTTACATTTCTCATGTATTACATAAAAAATACAGAATGTTAAGTTTGAAACTGAATCCTTCACAAATCCTTGAAGGAGTTGTGAAGCCTTAAATCTAAAGAGAAGTAATTTTGTTGTATTTTCAAATGTTATGTCTGGCTGTAGATGAGTCCTCAGCAAGGGAAATGAGGACTGCAAGTGCAAATTTGGCATTAAGGACTCCTCACTTTCTAAGCACAAGTGGCAAGTGCTTAATGCCAGTACCTAATAACAAAGATAACAATTAAGAAATTGTTGTCTTAATTCCAATAGTAGAATCAAGCTTGCATACTTACCATGATCTTTGGTTTAATGATAAAGTCCCTTTGCCCTCCAACCTGAATGTGTTTCTTCATGAGACTGAAGTTATTAAAACGACAGATGAGCAGGCCACTGCTGTTTGTTCTCAGGTTAAAGTCAACGTCTTCACAGAAATACCTAAATCATAATCACAATAGGTTTCTTTGGCTACCTGACACATCTCAACCATGATCATTACACACAAAGAAATAAATGTGTGGCAGATGTTAAGAGACAGCCTCAAACAGAATCAACTTTGCTTTCTTGTAGAGCTGGCCCTCCTAACACTTGCCTGTGTGAAGCCCCTGATTTGGGAATTACAGCCATTAAATAAAGGAGGAGTGAGGAGAGTTTGGTCCCAGACATTTTTTGGGGACCTTAGGCTCCTTGAACCGAACTAGACTGCACATTCTATATACTCTTGCAAGACGGGAGTGCATAGGTGCTCCAAGTTTTTAAATTCTGGCTGCAAATAGGATGAAGCATCTGTCAAATTTAAAACAAGTAAAATAGCTACAGAATATTCTAGTAGCTACAGGATTGGGGGTTGACATAAGAGGGGCTTTATAGTCCCTGGCTTTTCTTTGTTTGGCCAGATCAGATTTTCCAGGATATGGACATAATTTATTCAGGAGGCAAGGCCAAGGTTAGCCTGCTCATTCTCACTTACTGGCTTTTCTACAGGATCCAGACCTCTGGTCTGACATTTGGAGAAAGTGATTACCTTCTGAGGTCAGAGGAAGAAGGAAGAATTAACCTTCAGTGGGCTTATGGGTCCACACACTGACTGGTGTTGATTCAACAGTTTGTCCCTGTTTCAGTTTTTGTTGAATAATGAGATCGCTGAAACATTTCCCAAGCATTTTATATTGTAACACCTGTTAAGGATTTGGGTCAGTTTGAAGGATGGTGAAGGGACACTTTGAGACTTGATTCTCCCCCTTTCTTCTTGTCCATGTAAAGAGATTCTCAGTTTTCAATTAAAGACAGAAACAGGAATAAAAAACAGGCTAGAGCTGGGTAGAGACAATGACTAGGGTTACTTGCACCCAAGAGCCTGACTACCTGTTGAAGTCGTACTGCACATTCTGAGTCAGGTCTATGTTGAGGAGAATGAAATCGTGCACGTGGCACCTGGAGAACGGGACCCTCAGACTCTGGGAAGCCAGCTTGCTGCTCCATTTCTGTATACCCAGGATTGCATAGTGGATGATTTTTGGTGTTGCTTCAATGTGCTGTAAGACACTCTTCAAGGACACATTCTTACTGGAAACTCCTGCTTCCATGGGCTGGCTATGAAATGTAAAGTTAGTTTATATAAGTTATCAATAAATATTATTGAAAACAGGGTCATTTATGAAGGGCCAACACTACTATACAGTATTAATATCTGTGATATAATTAGCTCATTTACTTTCTCTTAGCCTGGAATGGAGGAAGGTATCAAGCCCAGTTTTCATACTGCCAGACTGCTAATTTTAGGAAACTGCCTCTAGGGGGTGGGGTGCATCACTTTAAGACTGAGAAACAAAGCCAGCCCCTGCCTCAAAGTGAATAACGAGCGGTAAGTTACCAGAGTGAGGTAGCCCGAGGTCAGAAGTATACTTCCTAGTTCTGGTAATTATTGTATAATGGAATATTTGAGAACGTCACTGACTTCAAATCCACAAGGACACAAAATCACAACGTTTGAATTGGAAGGGCCTAGAAATCTGGCTGTGTTTCAACGAGGGTGTTATTGACATCTGGGGCCATTTCTTGTGTTGGACTTTCCCATTTTTATTATCCTTCTGGTTCTCATGGACCCCTCACCACTGCCCCAAGAGGAAAACCTCTGAGACTGCCCCAACCATAATTTTACAGGTGATGAAATTGAGAAAGGTGAAATAATTTTCCCTTTCATCCAGATAACATGGCAAAGCTGGGGCTAAAAAGCAGGTTCCCTGATTTAGAAGCCAATGACTTTTTTTTTTTTAAATCTTCACTCCAGGATATTTGTCCATTGATTTTTAGAGAGAGGGAAAGACAGAGAGAAATATTAATGAGAGAGAAACACATCGATTGGTTGCCTCCTGCACACGCCCTGACTAGGGCCCAGGCCAAGGAGAAGCCTGCAACCAAGGTACGGGCCCTTGACCAGAATCAAACCCAGGACCCTTTAGTCCTTAGGCCAACACTCTCTCCACTGAGCCAAACCAGCAAGGGCTGGACTTTCTAAACAAAACATACTCTCAAAAGATTTATAGCTAACCAAAGCCATGATGCAGAAATGGTCCGGGAATTTAATGGCATACTGAATGTCTAAATTTTTAAAAAAATGTACTTGTGAGGGTGGTCTTGTGGATGAACGTTCTGCTCTGGAAAGCTATACCTCTTCTATTTACTTCCATGCATAACTGCAGCCAAGGAGAGGATCTTCTCAATAGGACTGCTCGGGAAGTACCACTACCTGGTCTGCTCCTGAACACTGTGAATGTTCCACAGGACACATGAGTCATCCATCACAACGATGAAAGGCCAGACACACTGGCGTTTAATTCCCAGCTCTTCCAGGCGGTTCCTCTCCAGTTCCAGGTTGTGGTATGACAGCTCCTTAATGAGAAACCTGGCAGCACCTGGAAGGCAACACAAGTACAGCTGCACGTCCTTCACTCAGGAAGCCCCACAGACAGCTCACACTCTCCACAGGCATGCCTGTTCACATGGTGACCACTGTGAGCAGGGTCAACTAGATTTTCAGAGCAAACGTTAGTGTAGGTAAAAATCACAGAGGAAGTCTTTAAAATGCAGACTCCTGGAGCCTAACACCAAAGATTCACTTGAGTAGGTCTGATAAGGGGACAGAAACCAGAGATGTCTGATGATACAGATGATTCATGAACTACACTTTGAGGAATATAGCAAGAATCCAGTTTCCCTGATAGGACAAAGGATGCCACATGGAGGAAACTGATTACTAGTCAGTTTCTGAAAGTCATGATAAGAGGCTCTGTCTCAGAAGCAGTCTCTCACATGTCCTGCACTAGGGAGTAGCCAGAGCCTGCGGTTAGTGGGTATGCCACTTACACTAATGTGTTCCCTGCTTTAGATAACTTTAGGAAATTGGTAGCATCTTCTCTGAAGATGATTCTGGAAACTGGCATTTTTTTCCTATTTTTTTTTTTTTTGCAAGAGGCTGTGTGGTATAGTGAGTAGTAGAAAAGACTGGAGCCAAGCTGCCTAGGTTTGAATCCTGATTCCACCACTTTCTAACTTTGACAATGAACAAATTAACTCCCCTGTGCCTTGGCTTCTCCACCTGTAAGAAGGCAATGATAGCATCTACTTCGCGAATTGTACGGTGCTTGGGATAGTGCCTAGCATGTACTAAGTACTCAATGAATGCTAGCAATTAAGATGATTGTCAAGCCAGTCAGAGAAAGACAAATATCACATGATCTTACTTATATGTGGAATCTAATGAACAAAATAAGCTGATGAACAAAATAGGTCCAGAGGCATGGATGTATGTAACAAACTGACACATCTCAGAGGGGTGAGGGGGATGAGAAGAGATTAGCCAAAAAACTTACATACATATATGCATAGCCCATGGACACAGACAATAGTGTGGTGAAGTCCTGGGGTGGGC